CCGGGCACATTCTGGAAAGGGAAATGAAGGCCCTCGCGAGCTGTTGAAAAATGAGGGCCTCTGAATTTTAATTCTGTTAACTAATTATTGGAAAACTAGAAATCACTGTCTCTCTGAGAACCAGCGAGGTAGCAGGCTCCACTGACTCTGTGTTTAATTTTGCAGGAGCTCGCCGGTTTCCCGGCAACACACTGAGTTGTGGGGCCACTACTTTGGGCACCTCGAGGATAATTAAATATTAAGTCCCCCTTTGATGTATGCAAAGTCTGCCTAAGAGGATTACCAGTCCCAGTGAAGGCAGCAGTCCCGCATGTTCTGGTAATTGAACACTGCAATGTCATCTATTCTTATCTTCACTCTGTAAGAATCCGTCTCTATCTTTAGTATTACCATTGAGAATGGAGAAGGTGACAGGGACAAGTTAAGAAAACAGGAGCCCGTGTAATCAACCTTTTGAAGTCTTCTAAGTGACTGAGGTATGGAGGGGAACAAGACACTTTACTATGTGTCGAAGAAATGACAGACGTGAGCAAACCATCCTCTATCTCAAGTTCAAGGTTCCATTTTACGCACCAAGTAGCCACGGCTCACAGTTTAAGAGACTTCTCTAAGACTGTAAAATAACAGTGGAGGGAGGGTGGAGGCACAGGCCTAGGGTCCATCCGCTAGCGCCCTGATCTTTGCTATTTCCTAGTGAGAGGTAACAGAGCCTTTTAAAAACACTGATGGAGACTACCTCAGATTTAAACCATGGGCAGAGTTGCGGAACGTTGCAGAAGTTGTTGCTGTTTCCATTCTGATGCTGCAATTTTTTGGCTTTCATTTTCCAAGTAGCAAGCAGATATTTATAGCTGTAAGGCAGAGTTCCCCCACCAAATTCACTTGCCCTCCAAAGTAGATTTGAATAAGCAATGCCAGGCTCGACCCAGAATACTTAACTTTCAAAGGAGGAGGAGGAAACACTCAGTGATTTAATTTATTTTTGGAAAAGACTATAGACAAATAACAGAATTAAGTCACTATGGTAGTTTTTTTGGTTATTGAAGTATAGTTGACTTGCAATATTAGTCTGAGGTATATGACATAGTGACTTGATATTTAATAGACTATATTCCATATAAAATTATTATAAAATATTGACTAAATTCCCTATGCTTTACATTACATTCTTGTAACTTGTTTATTTTATACCTAACAGTCTGTACCTCTTAACCCCCTTCACCGATCTTGCCCCTCTCCCTCTGGTAACCATTAGTTTGTTCTCTGTATCTGTGAGACCGTTTTTGTTTTTTAATATTCATTTGCTTTATGTTTTAGATTCCACATATAAGTGAAAACGTACAGTGTCTTTCTCTGACTTAGTCCACTAAGCATAATACCCTCCAGACCCATCTGTGATGTCACAAGTGGCAACATTTCATTTTTTATGGCTGAGTAGTATTCAAGAGAGAGAGAGAGAGAGTGAGTGTGTGTGTGTGTGTGTGTGTGAGAGAGAGAGACATCTTTTTTATCCATTCATCTGTTGATGGACACTTAGGTCGCTTCCATATCTTTGCTATTGTCAATAATGCTGCCACAGCCACTGGGGTGCAGGTATCTTTTTAAATGAGTGTTTTCGTTCTCTTTGGATATATACCCAGGAGTGGACTTGCTGGATCATATGGTAGACCTATTTGAATTTTTTGAGGAACCTCCATAGTGGCTGCACCAATTTACATTCCTCCCACCCGTGTACTAGGGTTCTCTTTTCTTCACATCCTTGCCAACCACATGTAAAAGAATGAAATTAGAACATCTTTTCACACCATATACAAAAATAAACTCAAAATGGATTAAAGACCTTAATGTATGGCAGTTTTCTTATTTCCACTACCAAATACTTTAAGGAAACTCAGATCATTAGCTTCCAAGGACTGGGAAATTGTTTGTATTCAAGGGGAAAGTAAGAGGAGGTAGAAAATAAAAAAGTGAAGGAGACATGAAATTATTTTTACTAAAGTTAAGAGACACTGTCTGGAGGGATGTTTGAGGGCCTGAAAAATTCACATCACCAAGGGAAACAGTGATGAAATGAAGAGCAACAAACAGTCCCTGCAGATGAGAGAAAGCAGTTTGTGTTCAGTGACACTAAAGTCAAGTCAGTTTAGAAAAGTGCCTGGAAAAGAAATCTTAACAAAAGCTAAGATCTCTTAAATCCTGTTTTTGGTAAAAGTTAAGCTAAGATGAAATTAAAATCTTAGAAGTATCCAGAAATCACTGAAATCCTATAAAAGCTGCAAGTTGTTCTTTGAATAACTGGACAATTGAGGAAAATTTATAAGAAGAAATAGTGGTTATACTCATACTATTTCTGAACTATTCAGACTCAAATATCAAAGTGTATTTTCTAGTGTTTCAACATGACAGATAAGATGGATATCTTCCCCCTTTCCTGGTTTCCATGTTGTTTCCTAATGTTTTTGGTACGTTGATCTGACATGACATGAGAAACCAGCCTCATTGCCCTGCCAGGCTCCAGCCATCAAGGAAGATGAGATTGAGCAAGGCTGAGAACTTGAAAAATGGGAAGTACGTAACTGTAGGAGCATTCATTTGCTTCAGGATGAGGAGAACCTAACATTCCACACGGCAAAAACAACATGATCCAACTTAGAGCTTACCTCAGGGACGTTACGTGAACCTCTGTGTTTGCTGAAAACAAGCGTTACCACTAACTGTGCCAAGGACCTGGAATATATTACACAGCCCATTGCGTTTGTGTTCAGAAACCTCTTAAAAGAACTTGTTAGCGTCTCTTGATGCAATTCAAAGCAAAATGTTGAGAATGAAGACACTGATAAGGTCAGGATGCTTCAGAGAGAGTATTACTCAGATATTAGTAACTTTCAATACAATCCATTTCAGCAATTTGGCAAGATTAGAGAATCTCTGATAAGTCCATCTTTTTTGAATCTCAAGTTCTCTAACTCTGAAGAAGAGATAACAGTATTTACCTGTTTCTCTCACACAGGGAAATAAGAACAAATGGGATAATTCTGACGATGCTCTCAGATGAGTCTCGAGATATTCTTAATATTTGATTCTTCTTTAAAAAGTTCATTGCTCTTTAAATGAAGTAATAAAGATATAAATATGTTATAAAACAAAGCTTTAAAATTAGAAGGCACACTGAGTCGGAATCAGACTTCCAGGAAACTCTTCTGCAGATCAGATTACCTGGAAGTCTTATTCTCCAACTTTTATTGGCCTATGGTCTACTCCGCAAACAAAAGCACTTGATTGAGGTTCCCGACTCCTAGATCCTATGTCTTCAGGGTGCATCTGTTCAGAATTTAAGCCAAACTTCAAAAGCCACCATATTTCTTTGATTTAGGAATTAGCATTTCCATTTACTCAATCAACAAGCATTTAGGCTCTGAGTGCTTGCACAGCATGCTGAGAGGGCTTCAAAAGATGCTACGCACATCCTCCAGGGCGTCTGAGTTTTCACGGCAGTGGGGAGACAAAACTTTTAGTAGTAGCAGTAACAACAATAATGGCAATAATAATAGCAACAACAACAACAACAGTAGTAGTAATAGATAATTAAAGCTCAAATGTGTGGAATTCAAGGTTCATTTAGTTTGAAATGGTCAGGGAAGGTTCCAGAGAGGCAGTGGACTAAATGAGCCTTGGAGGATGATGGAGAAACCAAGATCTTGCGTGTCTGCTGCATTATGTCTATCCACGTACAGAAGAGAAGGGAGGACATTTGTGTGCCTGGGCAAGGCATGAAAGACACAAATTAGCTAAACTTCACACTGCATTTCCACTCAGATCTGCATTTCTCCAGGGGAAGGGCGAGCCACCGTGATTAGGTGATACCGTGAAAAATCCTGACTATATGCTACGAAGAGAGAAGGGATACACGCATGTTAGGTGAGTGAGGCATCCTCTACTACGTACATTCGAACAGATGGGAAAATAAAAACAAACTCTGTTGCACCTATGTAACTATTACATAGCTGGACTGATGAACACACTGGGCAGTCTGCATTGCCAAGGTGAATATTCACTTGAAGATAGCTTAAAGTGATAAGAAATGAGCAGCCAGAGGCTCCCTTACCTGTCTCTGGGGCCAAGTGGCTTTGACAATGGCTTCCGTTCTAAAGAACACAAGGAGCTTGCCATCCTCCTCCGTCAGGTGAAATGACTGTCCCAAAATCTGCAGCACGTGAATGCGGGGCCTCACGGGCCAGGTGTCATCAGCACAGAAAGGCCGCAGCCACTCCAGCAGGTCCTCAGAGGAAACCAGCTCTTCTCTGCAAAATCAGCGGTTAGAGAGAAACTAGTAAGTCTTTTTCTTTTTCATTCCAGTAATCAAATGTGATGACTGACCTAAGCACTTGTTTGCTGGCTGATTTTGTTTTTTTCCTATTGAGAGGAGAAACGTACGTTTTAAATGGCTGAAAGCAAATTGTACTAGGTACTTAAAAACTGAAAAATAAATGTGATTTTTTAAAACAGCATCAAATTAAAATGAGCTACATAAAGCAGATAAAAAATAATCAGTATTAGTCAACATGTTCTTAGATACTCTGTTTCTTAAGTAAACTTTATTAAGAAGAGTGGCTGATTTCAAAGGTCTGTGAAGATGTTATTCCAGTGCCCATCCAGTTCCCAGGGCTTCACAGACCAACTTCTTGCTGAACGGACCATTAGCTCAATGGGCAGAATTAAAGATTTCCAAATCAGACTGTTTTCATTGGAGCACTGCTTTCAGAGTGGTAAGTGTTTCTACTGTAATAGTTCATGTAGAAGGGAGCTAGGGTCGTGGATACCCAGGTGGGCATTCAGAAAAATCTTTGATTGAAATGTTATTTCAGTCTTGGCAAACAAAATAATCCCTGTAATATAATTTTCATGGATGGCTTATCTCACCAACTAGTTAATTGACTTGAATCCAAAGGAAAAAAAAGTACGACATTTCTACTAGTGACATTAAGAGCATCAGGCATCATTCTGGTAATTTTATATAAACTATTACTGGTTGATAATAACTATGTTCAGTAAATATTATAAACACTATTTAATTTTAAATTTTTTCCAGTTTTATTGAGAGGTAAGAGACATATAGCATTGTATTAGTTTAAGGTATACGCTGTAATGATTTGATATTTGTCTATATCACAAAACAATGACCACAATAAGTTTAGTTAACATCCATCCCCTGACAGAGTCACAAGATTTTTTTCCCGAGATGAGAACTTTTAAGACCTACTCCCTTAGTAACTTTCAGACGTTCAATTAGTACTGTTAACTATAGTTACCATGCTGTCCACGTAACACAGTGACATAGTGTCCCTTTTATACTGACACTACATGCCCACAAACATCGACACCAGTGCAACAGGACCCCAAAGGCGATGTTCTTTCCACTACTTTCCTCTGTGATAGAATTTCAATAAGGGCTTAGAGTATCTCTGAAGATAAAATTCGAATGTGTGGTTATTAAAGAACAGGGAAGTCTAAAAGGGTTCAGAGAAGGGGGACATTTCTACAACTTTCCATCCAGTGCTAGAATCTCTCTGCTTACATTCCCAGATGGACCCTCTCAGGAAAACCACGTATTTGGTGATGATGTCAATGAACTCCTTTCGATGACTGTAAAGAGGTCACTCACACAGAAGCCTCCCTTCCACCAGGCCCTGGAGATCCACACTAGAGCACTGAATTATATAGGTTTTGTGACAACCAGATCTTTAGGAGACTCCTAGCAGTAAATCACCTACACTGAGTTCCAAATTTCACGAACTAATAAGACGACAGGAAATTTTTTAAAACTTCCAAGAATAAAATTCTACAATACTACCAAATATTTCTCTTAGTGTGCATTCTATAATATACTTGCCAATACAACCTCATGGCAATTTAAATTAAGAAACAAAGTTCATTATTTGTATTTAGGAATAAAACATATTACAAAACACTATGCACAACTGGTTTAAGCATTTCCTACATTTACAGAAATATTTGTTAGTTTTACCCAAGTGACCTTAATATATATCAGAAATGGCAAGACTGGGAGCAAAAGCAGCAGAATGCCATAAACATTTCCCAGATATCTACCACGTGCAAGCAATCAGACAGTACTGTGTATTATTAAGAGTATTATTTTGGAACTGGCTGGACCTGTGAATCCTGGCCCATCCTTTCCTAACAATTCTCAAAAATCATGAATGTCATCATTCCCGTTTTATAGTTAAGTAGACAAAGGTCCTAAGAAGTGTGTTTCTTGGAGTCTGTGAAACCAAAACAATATATACAAAGCACTTAGCACTGTATGTGGCACAGAGGGAGGACTTAATAAAAAGTAACCATCATCCAATCATCATCATCATATCAGCATCATCAAAGTACTAGTTTGTACTTGATAATCAAGGATGAAAAATGATACGATCTCTGCCTTCAAAGAACTAGTAGCACAATGGAACAGAAAGGTGCTACAAGCGACTATGCTCTCAATTACTAACATAATATAAATTTGAATAACTGCTTTGGAGGAAGAGCTAGTAGAATCAGAGAAGGCTTCGCAGAGGACGTGGCCTCTGAACAGGGTTATAAAGGACAGATAGAAGGTACACAAATGGAAAGGTGGCAAAATATACTCCAGAGAAAGAGTACAGCAAGGGGAAAATAAGTCAAAGATTTCAAAGGACATCACATGTTCAGGGAGCGATAAAACCACAGACGCCTGGAGGTAAACGAGAGGAGAGAGCTAAGCAAGGAGAGGTCCGCTGACCTGGACCACCAGGAGCTCGCACACCAGGCTCAAAGCGCAATGCAGCTCCACGCTGTGAAAGCACGGGCCCTGT